GAATGCGCTGCAGCGGGCGCGGGAAACGGCTAGAGAGTGCGCGGATATCAGCGTTGGAGGGAGGACTCCTTCCTGGCAGGTGCTGCCCGGGGTCGGGGGGGCTGGGGAGCCATGGGGCTGGGGAGCGCCGGGACGTAAGGCACCGCTTCCCGCCTGCCACGAGGGCAGGGAGGCCCGGCCTGGCAGCTGCGCAGCTAGCAGAGGGGACGCCAGGTGGGGGCACCCCTGCGTAGAGCATGCGGAGCCGCGCAGCACGTGGCGTGCAAAGGGTCGGGGCTCAGAGGGACCCTGCAGGGACCGGAACGCGAGAGGGGCAGGACGGAGTGCCTCCTGGGCCTGGAACCAGCAGTCGCCGAGTTGACCTCCGGAAAGGGCGGGCGAGTAGATGGTTAATAGCGATCAATCTGGTTGGTACAGGGGAGGGGCTGCGCCGTTAACCGCTATGCGTGAGGGGAATGGGGCTGAGAGCACACAAAACCGAGCTGGAGAGACTCTCTTTAACCCCCGCCTTTTATTAGCAAACTCGTGTCCCTAGCTACCCCTTCCTAGGTCCTTGTTAATTCCCAGAAAGAGGACCCTTCTTTAACTCAGAAAGGACAAGGACACACACCCCAGGTGTTCTTCCCAAGGAAGAGCAGTGGTGGGTGAGGGCTGGTCCCACTCTGCCCCTCGCCCCTCTTGGAGCCTCCCCTCTGCCCATTTCTCTGGTAACCTTTAGGCCCTCCCATTTGTCCTGCTTGTGAACTTTTCCATGCCAGGATGTGGGAGGGAAGGTTGCCTTACACGTGACACCCATGTCAGGCTGCAGATGACCTGGGCCTTCACCTTATTTTTCTCCCTTAGTTGGAGTAGAACACCCCCACCTCCCAGTATATTGGGCTAGTTGGGTAGCAGCCTTTATACCTCCCTCTTCACCCCAGAAGGAGCGTAGAATAAGCTACATGTAGAGTTTGAATTCTAGCTCACTCATTCACCACTAGCTCTGTGACCTCAGACAAGTGATTCGATCTCTCTGAACTTTAGCTGCCTCTATCTGTTCAATGGGGACAATTTAAAACTAGCTAATAGGTGGTTGTGAGGGAAGAGAGGGTACCTGCAGGTAGTGGCTGGCCCCATATGGAATCCTGGGGAGTGGAGAATTTGATGTTACCACAAGGATCTGTCTGGAAGCTGGGATGCATGAAAGGTGTTAGGAGCATGGGGGTGGGGAGGTATTCAGTTTGGTGGCTGCTTTCAGGGCCTCATCTCGGCAGGCCAAGGCATGGCTGGAGGGACACCAGATTCTCTGAGCTGTTATCAAATCCCCGGTTGCTGCTGGGCAAAGGCAGACAAGAATAAAACACCTGGGCTGGCCTGCTGAGTGTCAAGATGTGGGTGGGGGAGGGGGCTGCCCCAGGAGTTGAATTGTGCCCAGGACTGGGGTGGGTTTGGCTAGAACAAAGAGCAGGTATGTAGCTAGGGGAGAGGGCAGAAATTAATACTTCTCTAAGCCTAAGGCAGATTTCACTAAGGAAGGAGACGTACCCTATTCTCTCCACTCAGTCTCTGGTCTGGTTTGAAACAGCGTCCATATGCTCTTTACTGCCAGGAACTTTGCCTGTGGGGGTGGGGGTGGAGCACAGTATGCTGAGGTGGGAGGCTCAGGGTTCTCTTCCCTGCTCCCTAGTAGAAAACTTGTCTTGAGCCTTCTCTATCCACCCCTCAGGGTATAGCTCTCTTTTCCTGTCTCTCTAGAAAATGTAAAAACATGTTGTTCTCCACTCTGTGCCCACTGCCTAGAACCTGGTTAGCATGCAGAGGTTCTCGGTAAATATTTGTGGAAAGGATGAATGAAAGAAGCCCTTTGCCTCTATCTGGAGGCCTGTGATTCTGCTCCTCCCTTCCTTGTTCTACAACCCAGGTGTGGGCTGGGGGACTGAAGAGAGCTTTTAGAGAGTCTGGAGTTTACCCAGGAAGGGGTTGAGAAGACTTACAGGAACAGGTAGAAAAACCCCTTGATGGTCTGGGGTACTGAATGGTATCTCTTTGTCTTGAGGTTCGGATCTGGAGCACTGGCTGCACCTGAGTTGACCCACCCCCTCAGCTCCCCTGCTGAGACAATTGGGTCTCTTATCTCCCAAGCTACAGGGGTAGTTTTTTATCTTTTGGTTGAGTGTATGTGAGGCTTCTCAGAATGAGGAAACTTCCTCCCACAGCAAGGCCTGGGGGGTTCTCTCCCCATATGCCCTGTGCCACTGTCTTTATTCTGGACCCTTACCCAGGAGGAGCCCATGGACAAGGCCTGCTGCCTGAGCTGGAGCTAGGACGACCTCCCAGGGACTGCCCAGGCCCCCTCTGCTCTCACCCTTCTGCTGGCAAGTCTGGGCATCTGGTGAGTCCTGGCCCAGGTAGGCAAGAGGGGAAGCCAGTCCTCGCTCCAGAGCTAGGCTTGCATGCACCAGGACATGCCTGCCTGCCTTTCCATGCCATCTAAAGGGAAAGCTGTTTCATCTGCTGGTTCCAAAGAGGTCCTAGCTACAGAAATAACAGGGGCGAGCAGGAGAGGGACACTGAGGGGGAAGGCAGGAGAGGGACACAGAGGAGGAGGCTAGGAGCTTTGGGACTATGCAGTTAGTCAGGCCTGTGCCCCCACTCCCCGCAATCTTCCCTCTAA